TCACTTATACCATGTTGTTTTAAGTGCATTCCTATGTTTCCCTTTCTGTGTTCATCAATGCGTTGATAAAGGTGTCGGCAAGTATAGCCGACATAGCTTGAATCACACAAGCCACATTGAAATTTATAACGTCGATCCTTTTTGTCAATAAATTTTGTGTTAAAGATTTAATAATAATAATAATAATATAATAATTCTGGATTTATATAGCACCTCACGTTGACACAACCTCGAGGCGCTTAACAACAACAAAGAAGAAAAAAACCCAAACAAATGCAAATGTACCAAAACAAATTATTATCAAATAATTATTTGGTTTTTAGTTTAGTTTAATTAAGTTCAAATGAATGGTTAGATGATTATCAATAAAAGTTATTACAATGCTTTGGTGATTGGAATCATTTTAAAGCATGTTACTTTCTTATTCATCCCAAAGCCTTTCATTTTAATGTTGAATCATACAGATTTTAAGATGGTAATGTGGGATGGTAAATTTAAAGCACTAAGATCTGTATGTACAGTAGGTCAGATATTTAAACAAAATTTTGCAGTTACTTTAATATTTCCAGAACAATGGGGTCAGGTGTATTAAAAACAACCAGATTGCTAAATTAAGAAACCTCCCAAGCATATGCACAAAAAAACTAAATGTTGAAGGTTACTAATATTAGCCAATCAAATCACTCTTATACAAAATGGTCTGAGAGTTTTCAGCCAATCAGGTGGTAGAGCAGAGTATCCTGTTTTGTACAGCACTGCACTGTAGCTTAAATGTCTAAATATCTTGTCATAAATACTGTAGAGCACCATCATAGAAATGAAAAACTTTTGGCCGTAATTATTACTAAAATTATGAGTTATATGTCAATGTTTTTTTTTATATATATATTGTATTTTAATGCCTCTGCATGTTAGAGGACAATTGATAATCAATAATTATATTTTATTTGTAAAATTTTTATGTGTGAACATATGTTTTGTGAGTGGATTTATGTGTTTTCTCACAGCCATAATGATGAAACAGCATGTTAATTTATGCTTCATGAATAGTAGAGCAGGCCTACATAATAAACAAACGACTGAACCAACTAACCCTATTCCTACAGTAAGTCATCAGGGAAAAGCTCGCCATTATGTTTGACTACTTTAAATTACACACAAAACAATACTGTACTACTGTAGTACAACCTTAGATGTTTGGAATCACAAATAATAACTTCATACTGACACCTGATTGGCTAAAAACTCTCAGACCATTTTGTATAAAGTTATTTGATTGGTTAATATTTAGTAACCTTCTTTTTACATTAAGTTTTTTGCGCACATGTTGGGAAGCTTCTTACAAGTTAGCAAATCTGGTTGTTTTTTTTTTTAATAAGCTTACCCCATTCTTCGGAAAATATTAATGCAAATTTTTAAAAATGTAAAAAATATACCTGCTTATAGTGGTTTAAGTTGACCATTTCACAGCTTAACGGTTTGTACGTGATCATTCCAAATTTCAGTCCGGATGCCTAAAAAACATCCCCCTAGCATAGTTTAAAGTCTTTGTTGTTTTTTTTTAAGGTCAAACAAACTTTAAAATTTATATATAATTTGTGAGATTTGAGTTTTACTCTAGGATGAACTCTAGGCATACAGTATGTGTAGGCTAGACTCTATCTAACATGCCTACAGGCTTTATATTTCTGGTCCTCTATTATAAGGCAACACCCAAATCGACCAGATTTTATGCACTGTATTCAGTTTGAAACTTAACCTGGAATCAATCCAAGACTAAATACTGGTAGGTTAAAAAATTATGTTATAATAGAATACACTTAAATTGAGTAAAACTTGCAAAAGGATCCCTTCCAGATCATCAGCATTTTGACATCACATTCAAATTTTTCTAATGATAATAAGCCATGAAATGTCAGACAATGGTAAATTATTAATTTATTTGACAGATTCGAGGATTACATTCAAAATCGTGACTGCAATGCCAGTTGTACTGTGCTGTACATAGAGCTGGTAAACTATATGAAATTTGTAGTACAAATGATGATATGAACTGAAAGTATCTAATTTTTTTTTTTATTTGATACATCATTAAAATGTGGTAATGTTATAAAATAATAACTAAAAATACTATAGGCAGGAATGTAAAAAAATCAAATGTTAAAAATTGAAAATAATTCTAAGTGACAAAATTAGCATAAAAACTAGTGGATGAGCCTAGAGAATATCTAAATGAATTTTAAGTTTAGTCCTCAATCTTCTTGCAGTTACAGTGGAGCTGCAGAAAGACGAGATTTTTTTTATACCTTGTTCAGCGAACCCGCCGAACACAAATATTGATGATTTCGAATAAAAATAAAATTTTATTTTGGCACCCGCCACCACAGAAAAGAGAAATTTCATAAAAAATTAATTTTTTTAAAATATTTTTATTACGCCCTCCGTTGCCTTGAAATCTCCAAAGATAAAATATGTATATATTTCTTCCTAATTATATACTGTAAATTTGAAGCATTTAACCATCCTATTTTACATTCACCAATAAAATTTTATTTCTATTTTCTCCTCCGTCTGGATGTTTTTGGCAAAACTATTTGCTAAGTAAGAAAACAAAATTTTATTTTTATTTTTATTCCGCCCTCCTCCGATGATCTTTAAAAAAATAAGTACGTGAAACAAGGAATAAAAAAGGTTTCGCCTAAGGGGAAAGGAAAGTCAAATTGCATTGTAGGAGGAGGGAAAAATTCTGAAATAGCGAGACATGAAAGAAAAAAAAATGAACATTAAAAACATCAATAAAATTACAATGTACAAGCCTCTCTCCCTCCAATTAAAGACCAGTTCTGGGACTTCGGTTTCCATGGTGTTTAGCGGCATTTGTCTCTACTACAAAGAAAGTTGTTAAATTTGGGATCACAAAAATGTGGTCTCTAATTGGAGGTGGTCTTTAATTGGAGGAGTCTTTAATTATAGAGAGACCTGTATTATTACTTTGATCAACTTAAAAACTCAAATTAATAATAAAAATTCCAAACAATTACTACAATTATCTGTAAAAATATTTGGTCTTACCCATAAATAATGCTAATAATATGTGACAAAATTAGGAGAAAATAGACAAATATTCCAACAGATCCAAGGAAACAAAACACCATGGACGCGTCCATTACTGCCCACACATACGCCATCATTCGTTGCGAGGTACTGTAAAAGGCATCATACCATCCGTCTACAGCCATCTTGTGAATGCCTTCGAAGAAGACTGTAAAAAGAAGATTAGCCTGAGTAATGCATTTTGGGATATATGCCAAAAATTAATGAAAATAATTATGACAATGTAATGCTGAATTACATACTGTAGAAATTTTTAGAAGGTAAAATAAACCCCAGCAGTTAACAGATAAACATTCCTAAGAAATAGGCCTAGATAGGCCTACCGGTAAATAACTTAATTGGTTCTAATTAACTTTTGCACCTACTGTAACTTTTAATTCTTAATTTTTTTACCTCAATGTTCTTCTCACAGTCACAACACACAAATTATAAAACATTTTTACATGACTCAACCACTCACATTTTTCAACAAAAAAAATACCTTTATAAATAAATTTATAGACGTTGATACAGCGTGCTAGCACGACAAACTGTACATACTGTACTATTTTGCTGCTTTGCAATCCAGTAAGAAATTGCCAGAATGTTCGAGTCAATTCTTAAATTTTAAAACAATTAAAGGCCAGTCTTACAATTTGAATCTGAATTTTCCCATGAAACATCCGTCAACAAAATGTGGCATCATTACGTGGTACCATCTTTTTGAAATTAGGTGCGAAAGTGCATTAGCGCCACTTAATTTACGTCTGAGGAGGGATCCCGGGCTGCATCACCAGTTCATACCTGTTCCAGGGAGGTGGCTATGAATTCGTTCCAACTTGGCCACAAGTCAACTCGGCCACAAAAAGTTCGGCCACAGTCAACTCGGCCACAAGTCAACTTGGCCACTATTTTAACTCAGCCACAAATCAACTCGGCCACAAGTCATTTACTGGTACTACTACTACTACACTTTCAAGGAGTAATTCATCAAGTATAAAATACTAATTCTTTAAGTATTAATATAATGTATGTGTTTTTCTTAATTATTAAGATTGCTTAAATTGTTAATGTTACATTATTGTCAGATTTTATTCCATTCTGTAAGTGGCGGGATTTCTCTGTTGAATAAGAGTACAGTGTGAAGAAATGAATACAACGATGTCACGACGATGATCAGAATTTTACTAAAATATACTGTGTACTTCATTTCAATCACATTGAAGAAAAGGATGCAAAAACTGAGTAATATTTACATTTCATTTTAATTATAAATGACTTGTGGCCGAGTTGACTGTAGCCGAACTTTTTGTGGCGGAGTTGATTTGTGGCTGAGTTGACTTGTGGCCGAGTTGACCTGCTTCCGTGGCTTATGTCTATGACAAGGCCTAGGCCTTTCAATGTTCAAATCCATAGCTCATTCTAAAAATCCCTAGGCCTAGCCTACCTACTAGGCCTAGCATTAGTAGGCTTATTATTAACAACATACCGTAAAACCTAGCCTAGGCCTAAGTAAGAATGATGTCTCTCATATTTTATTGCCCAATGAAATTGGAACAAAAAAAGAGCATAATTTTTCAATTTTAATGACAATTTTTCAATGCCTAGGTCTAGCCTAGTCTAGGTCCTGAGCTGGTAATTAAGTGCAGTTTATTCCATTCGTTCGGGCCTAGGCCTAGCATTGTAAGCAGAGGATAAGATCATAATCATTCTTACCAGTCAAAGAGAGTCTAATCAACCATGGAATCAGCAAAACAACTACCGTGACCGAAACACTCACCGCTACCGTCGTATCTCCTCGGTTGCGGGAACAACAAAACAAGCTACTAGTCAGGCCTGGCTAGCAGCAGACGAATCGTTCGATCAAGTATAACCATAACATTTTAAATCCCAGATTAAGATATTTGCCGTCGTACTGCACAATATTAATGATTGTTCCACTGCCTCTTGTTAAGCTTCTCTGTGCTACCGTCTAGGCTATAGAACGTGAATAACATAAACTTTAAAGAACGTGAAAGCCTATCGCACCTCCCTCTCTAGCTGCAATAATTGTTGATGAAATGTTAGCATAGACCACTCCGTGTATCTCTTGATCCACCATCCGGATGAGTTGATGAGTCGCGTTATGGCGCCCTCTTAATATATAACTTGGAAATCTTGGACTTTCTATCGTCGAGCTTTTATGTTATTTATAAAATATTCCTGAATGATAAATATTGAAAGATTTGCATAATTCAAAATTCCCTTATTTGGGCAATTTTTCAATATGATTTTCATCACAAAATAATGATACAGTAAACTAATAATAAGTAACCAAATTGCTGTCATGTCTGCCAAGTCCGGGTCTGAAATCACACCGGTAAAACACTTCTTAATAGGCGGCTCCCACAGGCCGGCCAAATTTGGTCCGCGAAGCAAATTATTCTGGCCCACGATTAATATTTTAAAATATGTATTTAAACAAATTAAAATTAATAACCATTAGATGAATATTTTGTCACGATAAAGGCCAAAACACTACACTGGGCCACTGTGACGTGTGACGTAGGGGGACACCCGTACCCAGATCTAGAATCAAAATCATTATTACCAACCAATCAACAAACGCCAAATGACTAGTAGTATTGTTCAGCTAAATAGCAAATTAAAAATAAAAATTTATCAGAGACCTGTTTCTATTATCAGTAGACCGAGATTTTACAGGCGAAATGTTTTTAGCCTTTAAAGCCCTGGTATTTGATGGATATACTATAGTGAAATCACACCGCCAAAACTATTAGGGTCTATTAAACTTTGTATGGCTGATACTGTGTGTTTTTGTCACGATTATGCCTGTAACTTCATGTTTGGCAACCAGGGAGTTGTTGTATGGACGACGTACGAGCAGGTAACATTACAGTATTTGGTTGGGCGTAGAGAAGCAAGGAAACAAAATATCTAGTTTTACTCTGATAGGAAAAAAAGTCCAATTCAGGAAACGCTATTTCGCCCACAGTTACACTTGTAAAAAAACAGAAAGACATGACAAGTTCTATTAGCAGTCACCGACAACATTAAGCGTCCAGCGACCCTGAACATATATTTTTAGCATGAAAATATGCTTTAATTTTGGTGTTGTTTTTTTTTAAATCTGTATAAGCCTGCTTATTATTAGGCCTTTGAATACGGCACTTACAAACAACAAACACTCAAATTTTGTCAGCTCATTCTACCGAAGTGATCAGTTTCGGTGACAAATAAAATAAGATAAGATAAGATAAGATAAGATAAGATAAACTTTATTGTCCAAATAAAAATGGAAATTCAAGTTCCATTTGGCGTAAAAAAGCACTATTAAAAAAAAAAAAACACTACTCAATTCACAATAAGTTACATTAAATTACATTAAGATTTATCATTGCATTAAAAATAGATACATGTGTATCCATGCATGTGCGCAGCACATGTATACATACATATACATACACACACATACATGTATATATGTACACATACATATATACACACATATATACATACATACCGTACACACACATGAAATTGTATTATCAAAAAGGAATAATAATGGAATAATAATGAGGCCTACATCATTTAGATATGCTGTTCTAAAATGCTAATACACTTATATACTGGTGAAAGGGTTTTAGAGGGTGTTCCCTATCCCAAATGAGATTTTTTTTTAAGGAGAGGAACCCCTGGATGGCCAAAAATGACATTCTCAGACTGTGACAGGCATGTGTTGGCTAGGCGTTCGCCTATTTTAATATTTTTTTTAGTCCGACTGCCCGACGAGCTCTTTATGATGGGGGAGAGCCTGACCTGTCTGACCTGACCGGTGGGGGAGGCTTTATTCAGTAGAAACACAGCGTGTCTTGAGTCATGGGCCAACGTCAATCTGTGAATGACTTCACAAAGCCATAGGCTACAATAAAGCAGGCCCTTTATATCAGTTATTTTTTTGTCCACTTTGCATTCATCGCGGTAATCTGACCCCTCGTCGGGGAATCCCCCACCCCTCCCCTCCCCCGGTTCGGGTACCTCGGTCTCCCGTCGGGCAAATCCTGGCGCCACCTCTGATTACTTGCAGTGAAGTAAATCTAAAATGTATTCATCAAGTTATGATGATCTGACGCAATTAAAAAACGTACACAATATAGTTGAACTAACTTTAAAATACTAAACAAATGCCCGAGCCCCAGTGCACTGTCTGCACTTCCCATATCTACGCCAATGGAGTATGAACAAAATTAGGTCTAAATATTCGGGATTGGCAAATCAAATAACGTTATTCGGCTAGGCAAATTAACTTATTTGGTCAGACGACTTCGTCATGGTGTAATGGTGGTGGTGGGGCAGGTTCGTTATTTTTTGTCATGTTAACATCAATATCGTTATTGCCTTTATCCTGAGATTAATGTTAACATGGTATTTAAGTGTAGGAGGAGTGCAGTAATTTCCTCATGCTTGATTGTCAGTTGGTTTGTATGAAATTATGAGGGAATTTTTTAGATCCGCCTTCCGTTGTATATATATCATGCACGGCTACCATTTCAGGTGTTGAATACATATTGATGAACGAATTATATTAACAAAACAAAAAAAAAAAAAACCAACCAAATGTTAAATGCTGAATAAATAACGGGGCCAGAAGAAAAATTATATTAAGAGTTCACCAAAATGTTTAATATTAAGTACACCCTCCAGTTCGAGACTCTAATTCCGAAACCCTTCTAATTCAGTGGTGGCGCCAGTGTGGAGGGGAAACATTCACTCCCCATATCCCCCCACCCCCTTCGACAGGCCTGTACCCCCTGTCACCCGAGGCACGACTAGGTGGTCGGATCAAAAGTTAAACAAATAATAATTTGCCTATCCAGCTCTTATAATATTGTGATTATATTAGTAAAACATAGATGCTTATTAATAATTATACTTATAAAGAACATAATTCTTCACGATCTGATAGTGTTGATTATGCACGTAACTGTGAGGCATTCCAATACGTTCTAGGTTTACAAGGCATATTTGAAAATGATGATGTGATTTGTAATGTAAGTAATAAATTAGGTTTAATATTTTCTAATATTAACATTATTGACAGTTAACTATCTTACAGACCCCTTGCAATATTTCATTGGCCTATCTCATTTTTTTTCCTTGCCCAACATCCGAAGAGAAAAAAATGACTTTAAAATTGAATAAAAAATAGAAAAAACATAATTTCGTAGATTTTATTTTTCTTGTCGATTCCTAATATATATAACTATGATATATGTAAATTTCTTCAATGTAGCTTTCGTATTTTTGGCACAACAGAATAAAAGATAACCAGCATCAGAATTTCCAATGCATTCGCATATATTATAACCTTTCTGCCTTCCAGGGTAGGGCGCCGCCAGCGTTTTAGATAGGCCAATGTAAACATTGCAAGGGGTCTATTGTTTAAAGAAGCATTTGCTATATATAAGTAAAATGTACCTGATCTCATAACATTCTGAGATTTGTTAAGTAGATGCATTAACGCGCAGATATCTATAACATTTAAAAAAAAATATATATGGATATTGAGAACAATCTATGGTCAAATCATGTTGTCGTTTAGGGCCAAATCATTTCATGTGTCTGATAAATATTAGAATAATCACCTACCTACTGTAGTGCAGTAAATCTAAAATATATTCATGAAGTATGATCTAACTTAGGCTAATTCAAAAACGTACACAATACAGTTGAACCAACTTTAAAATACTAAACAAAAACGTACGTGCCAATTATTTTATTGCTTTAGAAATATGATTTCAAAAAGCATATTAATGCTACGAAGCATAGGCCTACATACGTAAATACCTGAATTAAATAAGATAGCTAGTTTGAATGTATTCAACAGATACAAAGCTGTTAATGGCTTTTTTTATAATTAAAGTCATCCATCCATCCAATTAAACTCATCATTATTTTGGGAAATAGGTAATAGGTAAATTGTAATGTATAATCAATAATTATAGCCTCTAAAAACCTAATATTATTTATTAAAGGGTCCTTTTAAAACAATAATATTTTTTAAAGTTCTATATTTAAATCTATAGACCTCCTACTGAACGGGACCCAATAGCACAGGGGCCCAGTGCTGCCCATACCTACGCCACTGCTAGTATGGACCAAAATTCTGCTTTTACGGTCACAATATTAGGGATTGGCAATCAAAATGACGTCTGTAGGCCTATTTGGATAGACAAATTAACTATTTGGTCCGACGACCTCGTATGGTGTTCGACATGGGGCTCCAGGCCTGTGCGAGAGGTGGGGAATGGGCAGGTTCGTTATTGCCTTTATTGTCATGTTAACATGAGGTTCGTTAATGCCTTTATACTGAAGTTACTCTCATGTTAACACGGTATTTAAGTGTAGTATTCCTGTTTGATTGTTTATCAGTTTGGTTTGTATTGTAATTATGAGGGCATATCCGCTTTCGTGCTATATAATACACGGCTACCCTCTTAAGTGTTGAATAAATACTGAAGAATGAATTTAATTATTAACAAAAAATAACAAAAGGTTAAATGTTGAATAAATAACGGGGCCAGATCAAGAACAAATTATTAACAAGAGTCAATCAAAATGTTTATACTCTTAAAATGACAACTACAGTGCACCCTCGAATTCGAAACTCTGTAATTCCAAGACCATTCAAATGTTATTTTCGGACGTCTAGAACACAAAAATTTCGCGGACCGGACCTCTAGTATAGTGTTGTCTCGATCGGCCAAACTTTCGGGCGCCCCCCCTCCCCCTTTTAGACATCTCTAGATCCGCCGCTGAGGCTATCAGTCATATTTTAACTGACCAATCACAACGTCTTATATTGGACATACACGATATTCAACAAACACGCAAGTTGCGTTTACAAGACATTTTGGGAGAAATAAAAAATACTAGAATCTCCTCCCATCGCGCATCCATTTTTTTTTTTTTTTTTTTAAATTTTTAAAAATTTTCCTTTGTTTTACAAAAATCTGGCTAACTCACATCAGTTCCTCTCTTGATCGTTTGTGGTTGGAGATACATGTGGTATGAATCATGTCATGTCTAGCGCTTCTTTTTATTTTCTTTCAATGTGCCTACTGGGTAAAAGTGAGACAGTAGTATTGTAGCTGTTTCTCATCAACCATCTTGGATTTGCCATCTCGGAGTAAAAAAAAAATTGACCTCATTCTCTGTCAAAATATTAAGACGAGAAAATATTCCTTTTTTTTTTACTTGCCTTAATTTATACAAAATCCTAGGGGCAGAGCTTAGCAGACAGTACATCATGATGGCACATGCTCATGAAACAGCAGTTCACTTTTGCTCAAGCAACAAAACACTCCTCAAAACCCAAAATAAAACTCCACATTTTCATCTATTTATTGGGAATTTAATAATTTAACACATGTTAACAGTTATGCTTGCAATAAGCAAAATATGGAAATAGATCTCCATGTTTCCTTAATATTTTCACATCAGCGGTATAATGTTGTTTTTTTTTTTCTTTCAAACAAATGTATGGTAATATTTAAACATAGAGGAAAACAATAATGTTCCACCTCACAAATGAGTAATTACAATACAAAATACATTAGTTGAACTAATATTATATAAATGGCATGTGTTATCTCCGAATTCTAAAACTCAAATCTAAAAATTATCGACGAAATGGTGAGTTAAACTTGTTGGTTTCACTAAGTCACTAGATAAATGAAATAATCGTTGACAGATGCTTTGCAAAATTGCTTAAATTTGCTGTCAGAAAGTCAGGGCACTCTGCAGACTTCAAAAATGTTATTTTTAAATGACCATTACTAATGTGGAAAATGTCTTCTTTTTTTTTTTTTTCTATTTAATTTTCAGCTAAACCAGAGGGGGTTCTATGATTATCTAAACCTCATTTGACAAACCAAACCTCCAAATCCCTTTGCTTAAAAAATCATCAAAACGAAGATGGAATTCACCATTATAATAAGAAATTACGCAAATTACTCTTTTAAAGTCCCTCATCTAAGTAAAATACAAAATTTGAAGCCGATTTGCTTCAAATAAAAAGTATTTTATTTCTTTTTTGTCTCTTTATGTATAAAATATTATACATATCTTGACAGCAGAAAAAAATCACTTATTTTTTAGTTGTAAAGATCATCATCATTGTCTGCCTCCGGGAACGCATCCTGGTTATTGGAACCAGCTTCGGCTCCTGGGCCCTGTGATTGGTTGCCTTGATCTGGGAACCTACACAGATACAACAAAAAAAAAAAAACAAAGTTATTATTATGATTATTAATTCAATTGTTATTAACTATCATCATCTTATTTTCTAAAAATACACATGTACAATTTTAAAGCCAAGCACACTCTGCACATACGGCCATCCGCCCATAATTTCATCAGTTTTCTTCAGGACGTGGAGCCCTCTGCTGATTGATAGTGGTAGGCTGAGTGAAATGTCGTGTGTGCCTAGCCTTGAAAATGTAACTTGCGGTACAGTACTTAGATATTTCTGAAAAGAATTGTTGTTGGTTGAGAATGTCTCGACGTTTCGATTGAGTTGCTTCAACCGTTTTCAGGAGAATATCTGCAGAAAATTCCAAACAGGGAAATACTTGTATGTTTGGGTGGTGAGGCTTGCTGATTGGTGGAAAACTAAACAATAACTGAGACTAATTGTGAAAAGGCTAATTCATCCATCCATCAAGTCAGTGGCATTGTTTCTAGCTTAGTGAAAGGAAAGCCCAAAAAATGGCATGGTTTCCAGTGTGGCGAGAAAAGTCTTGCTTTGGTTTCGGTCCGATTAAAACATGGACAACCAAATACTGCTGATGACAAATCTGATATCGTGATGTAGTGTATAGTGTTTGTGTATTTCTATAGCTTATCTGGTTTGTCTGGAATGCCAAGATGGTACAGTGGCTATCAGTTCGGCTGTATCCCAAAAGACATGATGTTGTTGTTTGTGGGAGTGCATGACTATAGATGACTTTTGTTGTTCCCCTCTCCTAGCATGGCCTTGGTGTTCCTTATATGGAGATCACGTCCTGTTTTGCCAATGTAAAGTTTTCCGCACTCGCATGGAATCCGATAAACTCCTGGCTGGCTCTGTGCCGGTGGTTTATCCTTGTGTGTTTTGAAGAGTTCGGGATAGTTTGTTGGGTGCACTATGAAACACTTTAATACCTTTTTGTTGTAGAATGCGTTGAGTACGATGTGAAAGCTGTCCCAAATATGGTAAACATACAAACTTTCTAGATTCCGTATCATCTTGCCTATTGCTGCATATAAATGTATTGTTTCCCATAAACTTTACCTCTCAAAGTGGTACAGTATATCTGCACAGGTTGGTAAGACAAGGTATTTTAATGTACCTCCATTTAAATGCCACCAAAGAACATACATTTCAAAGATGGGGTAAGATTGGAGGGGTACAAGAATTGACATCATAATAATAATAAAAAGCAATATTAAAAAACCATTAACACATTATTATCAAAGAATTGAAAAAAAAAATAATAAGAACAATAACAGAAATAGGTCTGACTTTCCTGATTTGGCATGCATGCAATCTAACGAAAAACACAGTGCTCCCGCAAGTTAGCAGGCGCTCCACATATAGATAAAAAAAATGCCATTCTTTACATACAGCACATTCTCAATGACTTTACGTGTATCACCATCCAAGGTTATAAACCCTATCTCACTTTTTAAGGGCGCACTAGGTTGTAGTACTATTCAAGAGAATTGGATAGCGTTTCAAGGAAAACCTGAGAGTTGGACCTCTTTCTATTATAAACTCTTTAATAACAATCAATAATAATTTAATAATGACAACAGTTGCTCTATTTAAGTCTGTGTATTTTCATGTATAATTGGCCCATGGAAAAACCAGATAATATTCATAATATTGTAAATGTAACAAACCTGGAGCTACCATCGAATCCTCGGCTCTGTTGTAAAGTTTGTGCAAACATCTCATATTTGCGAATGTCGTTATCCGTGACAGATCGTCGCGCAAACTTCATGGCTTCCTCGAAATGAGCACGGGTGATCTCTGGTACTGGGTCATCATCGTCATCTTCCATTTCCTTTAAAAAAAAATCAATAATTAAAATTAAATACATGTCTCCTTCTAAATAATGTGCACTCCAATTGATGAACACCTCCAATTAATGACCACTTTTCTGTGGTCCTAAATGAATGTCGTCTATTTATCTTTACAATAATCATCCTTTTTTATAATTAAAGAACAAAGCTGCTAAAGACCACTAAAACACTTATCCAGAAAGTAGTCTAATTGGAAGGAGAAATGTATTTGAAATTGGAAATTATTGAAGGGACTCTGGGGACTCACAGCAGGCAGAGTGCAGCGTCAGTACCGTCATGTAATGGATACATTGTCCCTTATCCTGCCACACTTCATGCGAGGGTTATTCATGTTTGAACCGAGGTCTACAGCGAAAGAAAAGCAGGAACATTTTCTGTTGGCCAAACACTCAGAATTGGAACAACAAAATATCAATCATGTTAAACGTCTATGAAACCAATATTATTATATTTCAACGCTATTTAGTCATTTTAACATGTTCGCTGCCAGCGACGAGTATTATACTCGTCCCACAGTTGCCGAGGCGATAGGAACGCCTACACTCTTTAAAACTGGGGTAACATTCTAGCGTTTATTACTTTATTGTCATACATTGAAGAACCACAGAATTAACTGCAGATAGTGGGTGGAGGGCCAAGAAATTAGTTTTAGATTGATTAGAAAACATCAAGACCAAGTAGCCCCACTCACCTCTGAAAACCTTGGATGTATACAGATATAAAAATTTGTATATAAATATGAGTTTATGGTAAGAAATAGACAAGTGATTTAATATGTTATAAATTTACATACCATATCAAGATCAGGGTTTTCCATTCGTTGCCTCTGATGTGAGATCTCGGCATCAATGCATTGGCGGATCGCCAACTTACAGGCACGCTGACAGATCTCTGTCAAGTCAGCACCACTGAATCCATGCGTCATTTTCGCAATGTACTCTAGATTGACATCCTATGAGAAAAAGATATGTCAAATTGTTGTTAGAGAATTTTATAATGAAATGACATTAAAAAGATCATAAAAACAGAAACAGCAATAACAACAGTAATTCATTCTGTGTAGTTACAAATTCCACTGCAGCCAAAAACAACAACATTTATAACATTAGAAATTTGAATTGATCACTCAGAAACTGACAAAAATTTTGAATAAGAATTCATGGTCTCTAGGAAGAATATTCATAAAATGTTATAGATCTAACAAATAATAACAATAACAAAACAAAGACATTTTGATGTGAGTTTGTGTCAGGAAACATCACTCCTAAAACAAAGACAAACAAGAATAAATGCATCTTCACATGGTAGAGTAATTGACAAAAATGGTGAAGGATTTAGAGAAACCTATTTTACGGTTTTGGAAGGATGTGTCCTATAAACTTTACCTGTAACAGTGATATATCTGTACAGATGGGTAGGACAATGAATTTTAATCTACCTCCATTTAAATGCCACCAAAGAACACAGACTTTCAAAGATGGGGTAAGATTGGAGGCATGTATGGAAGGTAATTAAAGATTACTTTAATCAAGTCACATATACTATAAACTTTGATGAAATGCAAAAACTCTGCTTTAGTTTCAGCATTTTCTCTTGTATATTTTTATATTTATTATTATAATAATCACTGTATTATTTCACTCTGCATAAATACATATCAAACAGAAATTCTTACAAATTTATCATAATTATGTATTAAATTATGCAACACTTTGAGGAATAAAGGTCTCAAAGATCAGTTAGTAAAGTTTATTGTTTCATGCTTTTGAACCACATTGGAGAAAAAAACCTCACAAATATAAAGATCAGAAATATTTACCTTTGCAACAGGGGATTTGCGAAGGTTAGCCGTGAGGATGGAGAGACGAGATGCATCATCAGGTAAAGGAATATAGACCAGTTGATCTAGACGACCAGACTTAAGGATGGCTGAATCAATGATGTCGGGTCTGTTAGTAGCACCAATAATGAATACGTTATTATTGCTTCCCATTCCGTCTATTTCCGTCAGGACCTGGTTGATGACACGATCTGATGCACCGCCAGCATCGCCAAGGTTGCCACCACGATCTGATGCACCGCCAGCATCGCCACCACGATCTGATGCACCGCCAAGGTTGCCACCCCGATCTGATGCACCGCCAGCATCGCCAAGGTTGCCACCACGATCTGATGCACCGCCAGCATCGCCAAGGTTGCCACCACGAGACTTAGCAATTGAGTCTAACTCATCAAAGAATAGAACACAAGGAGCTGCTTGTCTTGCCTAATGTAGACCAAAGTGGGAGGCAAACCATCATGTTTAATATTCTTAAATCATTTTAAAGCTAACAACACTATTGATATAATTTGTACTTGTTTCTGGATAGGAGTGGATCTCTGGCTATGTGTTTTAGTTCATTTAAGCCATCTCCCCTCTCTCTGAATGCTTGACGATGTGACGCCGGCAGTCTTAGGAAAGTACTGTTTCCTTATTTCAATTTGTTTTACTTTGTAAAGCTCATAAATATTATTATCCTACAGTATGCTATTGTCCTATGACACACAAGTTCCTACCCGTGGTCAGTATTTAATTAACACAAGGTAAATGAACTGAGCTTGGAATCTCTAAGACTTGAATGTGGTTTCACATCCAGGACATTTACTTTCAGTTGGTCCAAACCACTTATTTATTACCTTAATTATGTATATGTTTATCAGACACTTTACTGTAGCTTTTAATTGGTGGATTAGTTTGCTAAACTTGTTGGAATTGGTGCCCTGATTGGATGAGACCCTTAATATGCAAGGTGTCACACCCATCTTAAATGATCTTACTACCCTAAGTAATTCAGTTGTAATTTGGGATCCAGTGCAGACAACTCAAGACATCTTTATTACCTGGAACCATGTTATTTTGTCCGGCTTCAGTTCCTCTCTGATCTGTAAGTAAAGTACTTAAGTTGCTGCTTAAGGTTCTAGCCACCACAATCCTCTAAGCTCATTTATATGTTTAATTTCTATCTTTTGTTTAATTACCGTATTATAATGGCATTGTAAATAAATTATATATATTTTGTAAATACACAAAAGTTGTGATCTCTTCTCTGTTAGTTATTCTGAGCCGTAACGTAACAGAAAGTGGGGGCTCGTCCGGGAAACAGAACATTTTTAATTGGCTCATGAATTAAACATTTGGTTTATGTTCTTTCCATTTTGAATATTTTTTTAAATTTTCAAATTTAAGCATCATGGCTTTCGTGTTGGCAGAGTTTACTGAATCGCCCTCTCTAGACGTTTTTGAAAAATGTAGAAAGGTAGACCTTCTTGAAATAATTACATTAAGCATTACAACTTAGCTGGGGACACAAAAATGCGTAAAGCACAGCTAAGAAACCTCATTATCGAGTCCTTTGTGGATGACGATATTTTTTGAAGAAGACGCTCTTCAGTATTTAGAGCACTTATATTAGATGGACCACCATCCCTAGAGTTAGAATTACAAAAAATGAAGTTACAATTACAGGCTAGGGATCTAGAGCTAAATGCAGAGGAAAATAAGCTAGAGCAAGAGCTAAATGCCGAGAAAAATAAGCTAGAGCAACAGTTAAATGCTGAAAGAAATAGCCTAGAACTGGAAAAGGAAAAGCTTAAAATGGAGTTAGATCTCCAACTTAAAATTAGGAAATGGAACTTAAATCTAGGGACAAAGCAGAGCCCAAGTTTGATGTTAGTAAAAATATTCGTTTAGTTCCACCCTTTAAAGAATTTGAAGTCGACAAATATTTTCAGCATTTTGAAAAAATTGGTCAGTCCATAGGATGGCCAAAAGGTAAATATACACTTCTCCTACAGAGTGTATTGACTGGAAAAGCTCATGATATATGCCTCTTTAAATACAACAGAAATTAGTGACTACGATATTGTTAAAAAAGGAATCTTAAAGGCATATGAGCTTGTTCCAGGAGCCTATCGGCAGAAATTCCGCAGTTACCGCATTAGTGGTACTAATCAGACCTACGTGGAATTTGCACGCGAACAGGAAGATCTGTTGGTGCACCTCAGAAGAAATTAAAAAAAGATTATAAATTACTTAGGGAATTGACCCTTGTAGAACAATTTAAACAGTGTGTGCATCCAGCGATTAAAACGCATTTAGATGAAAAGGCCAAAACCCTTAAGGATGCAGCCATTTTGTCAGATGACTATGCCTTAACCCACAAAGGGACTTTTACACAAGGTAAACCCTTTTCGCTTTCACCTTCTTCTGGTAGTAAGGTGGGGGCTGGCCCCAACCCCCAAAACCAACTGGTAAAGGGTCAGAGGACCAAAAACCTGTACTGACTGTGGATAAAAAGGCAAGTTTGCGATGTAACTATTGTAAAAAAGTAGGACATATTATGTCTGAATTTGTTATTCGCTAAAACGTAAAGAAGCAAATACTAAGCCTGAGTCAAAACCGACTGGCTTTATTGGTAATCCATTGGGGGAACCTATTTTGAAAACTGACAAAATTAATGTCATTAATGAGGATAATACCCTCTTAAGCCCTAAAATGAGTGAGTATTCACCATTTATTTCACATGGTTCTGTTTCCATAAATGGGGACTCTGATAGTAAAGTACCCGTGAGAATACGCGATACTGGTGCTTCACATCCTTAATTTTGGAAGGGGTTCTGCCTTTATCCAAGAAGACTTCATCGGGTAGTAGTGTACTTTTACAGGGAATTGAATTAGGCTATTTTAATGTCCCTTTACACCATGTATTTTTAAATTCAGATTTAGTTACAGGGCTAGTTAAATTAGGAGTTCGTAAAGAACTTCCTTTTGAAGGGATCACCTTCTTATTGGGTAACGATTTAGCAGTGGCTAAAGTTAGAGTAGACCCAGTTTTATCTACAACGCCTCTTATTGATCAACCAGATCATTTTGACTCACTGTTACCCATGTGTGTTGTTACTCGATCCATGAGTACAAGAAATAAATCACTCCCCGAGGTAGACCTGACCAATACTTTCCTACCTGTGATTTATGATGATGTGGACAAAAATGACACATCTATTACCAGGCCCGTAGCCAGGGGGTTTTTATGGGTTCGGGCGAACCCCCCTTTTTCAGCGAACCCCCCTTTTGCCAGCGAACCCCTTAACCGGAAAATGATCCCCCGTTTCCAAAATAGTGCAATTTATTACAAAATGGGAGCATTTTTGGCACTGTTTATTTGTCGCTATCGATCGTAGTCAGATCGTAGGAATCAAAACAAAGCTGCAGGCCAGCTGAATGACGTAACCAGCAAGACTTCAAAATGAATATTAATGAGAGGTTTGTTGCCTAGGCTATTTGACCAATCGCGTGCTCCGGAGTTTATTTACTTTGGCACGACATCATCACAAAAGTTTGGGCGCTCGACATTTTTCTTTTATCTGGGATCATCGAGGACATGCGACACGCCAAAAATAGCCTAGGAGGATGAAGCACCGAGAAAGGATAAGCGATTTTTTTGCTTCAAGGCCAGCAACGAAGAAATCACGAAATTTAAGAAGTTAGAAAATTCACCCTTGTTTTCACCACATGCTCATGATACTGCCTGGCGGCGGGACCGGTGTACTTTTTCGGGCTAGGCCTAGGCCCTAGGTCTAGCGTTTCTAGGTAGGGTAGGGTCGTAGCCTATGAGGCCTATTATTTGCGAACGATTTTATTATTTATTTTGTAATCGAGCTAGCATAGGCCAGGGCCTAGGCTAGCAAGGAATTATACTTGGTAATGTTTTCATGTTTCGTCAGAATTAACTGACATTATTCATGATAATATATTTATTATTTTTTCTCAATATATCTCATTTAAACCAAGACAGCTCTTAAATTATTGTTTATTTTCATTGTGCTAAGTTTTTTTACATAAACTGGTTCTTAAACATGTACATTTGTAGCATTATATGTCTGTTTTTTTTTCAATATAATACTGTGCAAGTATATTTACATAAATGGTTCTGTAACTTGCAAATATATTAACATTTTTCCTTGCCCTAATTATATATATTTCCATTGGAACTTAACATTTAAGTTATTTTGGTAAAAAAGTAAGATGTAGGGCTGTCAGTTCCTATTGTTTCTTCATTTCTGCAATAAATAAAATATTATTTGCAATA